TGTTCCCTGTTTTTTTGTTTTTGTTTTTCCTTTTTTTTGTCCTGCCTCGGTATTGCGATTGGTGCCTCAGCGATGTCGCACCACATTAAGATCCGTGATCTGCGCGAGAAGAGCAAGGATGACCTGATGAAGCAGCTTATGGAGTTCAAGAAGGAGCTCTCGCAGCTCCGCGTAGCGCAGCAGCTCAACAGCGCTGGCACCCGTCTCGGCCGCATTCGTCTGATCCGCAAGAGCATTGCCCGCATCCTCACCGTTCTGAACCAGAACGAGCGTGATAACCTCCGCAAGTTCTACTCGGAGAAGAAGCTGCGCTCGAGCAAGCCCAAGGCGCTTCGCGCGAAGCTGACCCGCCGCCGCCGTCTTGCGCTGAAGGACAATGAGAAGAACCGGAAGACGCGGCACCAGCTGCGCATGGCTCGCAAGTACCCCCGGCGTGTCTATGCTGTGAAGCTTTAAGCGACATTTCAGTTCCTTCCTTTACTATTTATTATTATTTTTGAACAGCCCTTAGTTTTTTGAGTGTTGTTTGTTTATCAGTTAGAGGTGCCACGACTTTTGCCTGCTCTTCTTATGGCGAAAGGTTGCGCGCCAGGTTGGATGTTTCTTTCTAACCGTGACACGAATGCATATCTCATCATGTCCCTGCGCTGTTTTTTTTTCTTTACCTTCTCTCGCGACATTTTAATTGTGGGCGTTGGCTTTGCGTGGGCCAAGTGTGTGGGCGTGTGGGATGGAGCTTCTGGCCGAGGTGAATAGCGAAATTGTGTCCACCGTCGTCCGCATTCTACAGCGTCATGCGGCGCAGGTGCGAGCACTGCGGGATGAGGAAGTTGCTAGCAATGCCCGTGCTGAGCTGCTGGAAAGCTTGACGGCGCGCCTTTTGCGCGGGGAACTTCCTTCCTGCTTGCATGCGTCTCCGTTGGCTGCACCACAGCCTGAGGGCGAAAACAGGCGGGAGAAGAAGGGCCAGGAGGAGGAGTGGGTGGACGCGCCATCTGCACTGCCGTTAGTGGCGCTGCATGACTCCGATTCAATGGCGCAGGCGGAGCGTTCCCTTTTGACTGCTTCTGAGGAGCTCTCACAGAGCAGTTCCCCCGTGGGGTCTCCACGGGAGGATGAGGATGAAGGGAGGAGTTGTGCCACGCCATCACCTACGCGACGTGAGTTGGAGGAGTTTTTTCCTATCACTGCAGCCAAGCGCTCACGTCAAGCGTGCATAGCAGAAGAGTCTTGTCGTCGCCGAAGGTGCATGGAGGTGCACAATAATAGCGCGGGTGGTGAAGACGTTATTACCGCCACGGACATCCTGGCAGCCATACCGTGTCTTTCCTCAAACATCGCGCTACCTGCCACACACGTAGGTGCAGTTGAGTGTGAGGAGAAACCACGTGGTTGTGTGCGCAGCTACAACCGACGCCAGCTTGATTATGCGGCGGACGCCGCGAGATATGCAAGGGCCGGCGAGGCTGCTCAGGATGGGTGTACACCCTCAGTGTACTGGGAGATTGCGTTCCCTCGGGACCCCAATGGTAATGCCTTTACTGATGGCGAGCAACGGGGATAACGACAGAGCGAGGACTGTGGAGTGGGTACGGCCTTCTTCAACTGCCCGTGAAGGATATCGCAACGAGGCGGGTGGTGCGGGGAGAGGGAGGTTTGTATGTTGTGCGTTTTGATTTTCTCTTCGAATTTTCGATGTCACCTTTTTTTTTTTTTTTTATTCCAGTGGAGGAGAAGGAGCTGCTGCAGCAGAATCCCTGTGCCCTTTTCCTTTCCGTTGTTGTTGTTCTTGTTTTCTTTTACTAGGGTAATAAAGGAGGAAACAAAAAGAGAGAGATAGAGAGAGAGAGAAGGTGCAGGGCAACGCGAGGGCGGCAGGAGCGAGGAAACAACAGGGAGGAAACTGAGGGAGGCGGGGAGACTTCAGCAGGAAGCGATATATAAATGTTGGGGCAGAAGAAGCATTTCTTGCGCCAGCGGCAAAAGGAGGTCGTACGGGCGATGATCTCCTCCGCTGTTCCGCTGACGCCGACAGGGGCACCGCAGGCGTCCTCGCAGTCTAGTGGAGGGGAAACCCCAGGTATCACGGCATGGCGTCTCCTCATCTACGACGATATTGGGCGTGACGTTATTGCCCCTCTGCTGAGGGTTGGGGACCTGCGAGAGCTGGGCATTACGCTGCACATGCACATCAACTCCAAACGCGATCCCGTACCCGGCGCCCCTGCTATTTACTTTTGCTCCCCAACCAACGAGAACATTCGCGCCATTGCCGCTGATGCGGTAAATGAGCTGTATGAGTGGATGTACGTCAACTTCAGCTCGCAGGTGTCACGAGGTGGGCTTGAGATGCTTGCGGAGGGCCTTACTCATGGAAAACTTCAGAACATTCAACACATTCACGTTTTTGACCGCACACTCAACTACGTTGCTTTGGAGGATGACCTTTTTGTGTTGATGCAGGAAGATTCTATGGTGACCTTAAACAGTCGTCACGCGAAGGATGCGGAGGTGGAGGCGCATTTAAATGCTATGGTACTAGGTATCTCCCACATTCTGCTGTCTCAACAGGTCCTTCCCGTTATTGCACATGGTAAAACGGGGGCAGCCGAGGAAGTTGCACGGCGGCTCTCCATTTGTCTTAATGATCATATAAACGAACGCACCCTGGTACCAGCGGCCTCCACTGTGCTTGGTCGACCGCTGCTGCTTATCGTAGATCGCTCTAGTGATCTTGCGACCGTGCTGCATCACCCCTTTTCTTACCGTGGGTTGTTGGTGGAAGTGGGGGACATGCATCTAAACAAGGTTACCGTGCGTGAGGAGGATGGGAAGGAGTCTGCGTTTGAGATTGACCCGGACAGAGATGAGTTTTACGAAGCCAATGCCATTCTGGACTTCAGTGCGGTTGGAGGAAACATTGAGGCAGCCTTGCGGCGGTACCGTGAGGAGTACGCCGCTCTTTCAGAGACCACATGTGGCGGAGAGGATGATACTGACGCCAACGCCATGTCAAAGTTGTTGGCAAATGCTCCCAAACTTGGGGAGAAGAAGCGGATGTTGGACGCTCACACCAAAATGGCCTACAGCTTTCTGCAGTACATTCGCAAAAGTCACCTTGACCGGTTTCACGGTGTGGAATTAGGAATAATTAAACGCGAGGGTTTTGACAAGGAGGAGTTTGAGAAACTACTCTTGACCCGTTTGGGAACGCTGGAGGACCGCCAGCGACTCTACCTTATTGCCTACTTGCTAGACACAGAGGGGGAGTATGAGGCGGTGCTGCAGCGATGTGCGTCTGTCTTTGAGGAAACACCCTTTCCTGCGCTAGCCTACATTAAACACCTACGCAATTGGTCACTGAATGAGGCAGGCCCTACAAACACGGAGTTGGGTGCCGCGCAAGGCTTTGCTTGGGGTCTGGCGCAGACGTTGGCCAAAAACATCGCCAATACGCTTGGCGCTAACGCCAAGTCGGAGTTGCCGCTCACAAAACTTGTAGATGCACTTTTGCAAGATCCAGCGATGTCGCCCAGGGGTGGTACCACTGCCCGAACAATGGGTGGGGGCAACACGCTACGCGCAAAGCTGTTGGAGACGGTCGTTGGGTACGACCCACGGACCAAGAAGCCAGTGGACTTGACAGAAACACACTTTTCGCAGGCAATTGTCTTTACTATCGGGGGAGGTTGTGTCGCGGAGTATGATGATCTTAAAACGTGGGAAACTGAGCACCCGAGGAAGGCGGTAAGCTACGGATGCACCGCCTTGCTTACCGGCAATAAGGCGCTTCATCAGCTTTCTTTGCTGGGCGAAGGATCAGCGTGAGCCAAACTCCTCACTCCACCCCCACTCCCCCGGGAAGGGGCCTACACAAGACGAATGAGTATGACGTTGCCGCTGTTGGATGCTGCTCTTGTGTAGGAGGAGGATGAGCAGGATGCGTTTTTAGTGCACGCCGTATTATTATTATTATTTGTGCTTGCGGCGCCGATGGTTTTTCAGACGCATGGAGGCGTTTATGCGTCCTCTTTGCCTGCATCAACCCTTCCCCCATGTCTTGTCTTTGGCTTTGTTTTATTACTGACTTTTTCTCACTTTTTGTATTGCTGCTTTCCCCCCCTCCCCCCCAGGGATCCTGTGCGGAATTTATGTGGGCGTCGCTCTTCTGACTCTCTTATTTTCTCTTTTTTTTTTCTCTTTCACACGCTCATTGTGCGTCCCGCTGGAGGGCGTCAGGTCACGCAAGGGACGACTAATCGAAGGTAGAGGAAAGGAGCTCATCAAACCGACGCAAGTCAACGCAATCGGAGCAAAAAATAATTCCAGAGGGAAGAAAGATCATATTTACACGGAAATAGTGCGGCAGTGTTTGTTGACTGAAGTCAACTTCTTTTTTTTTTTGGAAATTTTTTTGTTTTTGCCTTTTGGGCGTTCCCCCACCGAGGGACCAAGTTATTCATTCGTTCCACCGGCGCACAGGAGCCTCACTTGCTGCGGACTGAAGGGTGGGGCGTAGACGGGTGCGAAGGGCGGTGAAGAGGAAAAAGAATACAAGGCGACTACAATACACGGAGAGGGGTGTGGGCTGAAAAAGTCAGCAGAAGAGGGCGAAAACAAAGAGCAAGCGCGGCCGGCACAGAAGCAGGTGTGCTTCCGCGTAGCGAACGAAAAAGGAAGGTTGTCTTGTGCGTGCTGATTCCCTTGTGGGTGGTGGCTGCGCCTCAATTTCGTCCGAGATTTGTGTGCCACATATGCTTGTAGAGCAGGCAGCTCCAGAGGTGGCTGGGCGCCCGCAGCAGAGCCACCATCGCCACAAGTTCACCGCCGTAGAGGAGATGGATTGCCCCATTGGCGACATCATGAGTGTGCCACTGGACCGCCTTTGCCAATTGGCATGGCCACTGCTGTGCTCCAATGAGGGCAAAAATATTGGCAAAGCCGCAGAGGCGCTAGTCATCTCCCAGACAGACGCAGACGATGTACAACTCGCCCACACCATAGGCACCACTGCTAAGGAAACCATTCACTTTTTTCGGATGCAACCGTGGTGGGGCCAACTGTCGTGTCACACGTTGCGTATGGCGCTTTTTCGAAAGTCGCTGCATTCCATTTGGGCTACGAGTGCGGTTGTTCCGTCCGGGCAGTCGGCAGAGTCCGTGTCGCCGCTTGTCTCCCTTTTGGCGCTGCAGAACTCGCCAAGAGGAGAGAGGCAGTCACACGGGAGCATTGAGGCAAAAAATGCGAAGGCACATCGAGAATCATTGGATTTTTCCGTCCACAGTGAGGAGGGTGCTTCTGGTAAGGCTCGTAGCTGCACCGATAAACGCAGGGCGGTACCCATGGAGTGGGTACTTCCATACTTTAGTGGTCAGGAGGGTGATACGTGGTTGGTGGAGCGGGTGCGGGCGATGGTGGATATGACGTTTGTGGTTCATAGCGATTGTCAAAAGCAACTCGTCTCAACCGCTGCCCATGTATCTGTACATGTTCAAAGTGACAGACGCAGTGCTCAGGTATTTCTTTTCATTTTGCGAGAAGTGTTGGATCGTTGGAATACTGTGCTGGACACCACTGGGGAGGCGGGCATCTTTGGCTTTGGCCTTTTGGTGCCTATACTCAACATTGTCCGCTGCACAAAATTCAATGGTACCGATGTGGTGACGGTGGGCAATTTGCTTGCCACAGTGCGCCTCCCATCCCGTGGATGTGGCCTTGGTAGCGAGTGCCTGTCCAACGCTACCTTTGTCACGCGATATGTTCTTTCCTTGGGGGAGCGGGTGGTTGAGAAGGCGGTGGAGGATAAGGACGGGGACGAAGAAGAAGAAGGTGAGGATGAGACAAACGAAAGCTCTTCACACTCCCATCTACTGCTGCCGTCACCACTGACGAATTGGAGGGTGCTTAGGGGGGAACAAATGGTCCAGGAGCGATCGTACAGGGTGGATCACGGCAAAAACGCCATTGCGTCAACAATGGTTACAGATGTGTTTCTAATGGCCCCTCTGGCCCGCAAGGTGAGTGTATTTGTTCGTCGGGCCTCCTCTTGTGAGGGAGTACAGCTTTTGCTGGTTCCACGAGCCTCTGTCGCTGCCTCGACTGCTACTGCTGCTGCTGCTGCTTTGGATGCAGTCGGCGAAGAGGAAGAGGTGAAGGCGGAAGAGGCTGAAAATGACGGCAATCTACTGATAAAAACTGTGTGGTTTGAACCACGTGAGGGTGAGGTCCACGAACTCCTTGGTGGTTGCGACGCCGTGGTGCGGTACAAGCGGAATCCGGAGGGTTCTACACAGCCTTGTTTACAGGCAGAGTTTCGCGTAGAAACAAGCTTGGAGGTGGATGGACGATGGGTGGTTGAGATTTGGAACACCTTGAGTGGCACCCAGATGATTGTGGCGGAGACTGTTTTGCAGAGGCTGAGAAACGCGTTTTCAACAGCTGACGGTTGCATGCGGGAGGAATCCTTGATATTGTTTTGTAACGGCCTGCTTTCACAGCCGCGGGCAGGTGCTTTACCGACGTTTGTGAAGGATATTTTGGTCCTGGACGAGGCAACCTTGCGAAGGCGTGTGCCATGTCGTCAGAGTGATGCCCGAGCTGTGCGGGCGGCGCTAAGTCTGATTGGCATGTTTCTTGCCTATCACGAGTCCGAGACGGCGTCGTGGGAGTCACATGTGTGGAAGGATGCTGTAAAACGTGTGGGTCTTGCGAGTAGTTTGCTGGGGAAAAATCCAGGCGCGACGGAAATGGCCACGTTTGTTCTTCAACACGTCGCACTGTGCCACTTGTCCATGCCGCAAATTGTGGAGGGGACCATCGCTCTTCTAACATCGAACATTTCAGTAAGTGAGTTACGGAACATTTTGTCGACTCAGCGCATGCGGGCTGAGCTGTGCGTTCTTGCACTCTCGCTTCTGCTACGGGCAAAGGAGAATTTTGTGCCAAAGGGCATGTTTCACATGGCCTCGTTACTACGTGATTTTATGACGTGTGAGGGGACCCATTACTTGTGGCGTTTTCGAGGTTGCGGGGAGTCCTTGGAGGAGAAGATTCGTGAGGTGGTGCATCAGCTACTGACGACTGTATTCACAGCGCTGCACCGTGTGATGTCGCTGCCGGAGGGGAAGCGAGAGAGGCACGGACCGCACCGATTTTTGTTGGACACTGACGACTTTGGCCCTTTTGCCCTCATCACACTTTCGCTACTCGCCTCCCCGCTGGATGCGCGCGACATTGAATTTGTCTGGTGCAAAATTGCCAGTCAGCTGGAGGGGCTGCTGCCGAACTTCACCGACTTTACGCGCTCTGCCTCGTTTAAGGTGAGCGAGATGGAAGAGGGGAGCATGCTGGAGGCGCTCCAGTCCCTTGTTAACGACCCAACGGCGGACCACGAAGGCAACAGCGTAATTGGCGGCGGCGTGAGTAGTTACGCAGGACGCGGGAGTGACGTGGATCAGCCTTCTATTGGAATAACAATGACGGGGGCCATCGAGCGTGGGCTTGGCGTATGGGTGCCGACGGGACGGGAACGAGTCTGTTCGACCTCTACCCCGTTGTACACGCCAGGGCTGCAGGTGCCACCGTCGTGCCTCTTTTCTACCTCGTCCTCGTCGCTGTCGTCGTCGCTGTCGCTGTCGTCGTCGTCATCGAGGCCGCTGGTGAAGAGTTCCCTCGTATCCCCGTTAATGCTCTGTGTTGCGACGGTGCAGCTGGCGAGTGCACCGCCGCGCGACCTCATTGTGGCTTTAGCAACGAAACAGCAGAGTGGGCTGACGGCAAACAGCATGAAGGAGGACTCCAATGGCTTCTATTTTTCTCCACACGATGGAACATTGTACCATAACGGCTCTAAGCTCTTATTGATACCACTTTTTCAGGGTGACACGCTTGCCTTTGCTTTTTCCTTCGTGCCAAAGACCTCCACACGAGTGTTCCGTGTGCTTGTGAACGGCGTCCGTATCGCTGAGTTTCCGGCGCCGCGACAGCAAATGTTTCTACTTGCAGGCGTTACGGGAGTCTCCAACCTGCGCAATTGCAGTCTGCGTGTGTGTTTCCCCTCACAGAAGGAGATGTCTTTGGCAGCCCCGGCGATGACTTGCAGCAACTATGACGCGGTGCTTAATGCGCTGCCCACACGGCACAGCATCTCTGTGTTTGCGACGAATGTTTTCTTTTATCTTATCTCGCTGTGCGCGAGACGCGTGGCGCAATTCCGTCGTCAAAGAGGAACGGCATGCGCCTCGGTGCGGGCAATCTCATCAGTGGCGTCAGCTAATCGACTCCACGTGATACCCACGGAGGAAGTCTGGCGAGGATTTGTGGATGGCTGCTGTAACCCTCTGAGGCAGAACATAGAAAACCTTGTCGATTCCATCGCGCGTCTTCCACCCTTATCGCAGATCAATGATGCAACGGAGCGTGTTAAGCGGAATGCGGCGTCATTTGTCTACCACCGTTTTCTAATGGATTATATTACCATGACACGCACCGTCATTCGCTGCGTGTCGTCCCCTGTGGAAATGCTGTCAACGCTGTCAAAAGTAGTTTGCTGCGAGGACGTTGGCGAGCGGGAGAGGTGTGCGGCATTGACGATTGTATGTTCGTTGCTCTGTGAGCCGCACCGTGTGTTTGCGCGTGACACCTACAATCCGCTGCAGTTATGGGACTGTTGCCGCTTCCTCTCACGATGTGTGACGACACTGACGTACCAGCCGGTCTTTACCTCGAAAAGTGCTGCTGCGGAACTCACCGTCTGTTCCGGCGGCCGGCGCATCAAGTGGGGGTCGGCCCCCAGCAGTACCTCGCGTGCAAAGCGGAACACCACCTCCTTTGCCTCGCAGGGCATCCCATTAGACGGCTCCCTGGGCGACGTGGTTGCCTTTTCCGTTCGACTGCAACGCGGTTTTGCCTTTGACACTCTTGGTCGCTTCTACTACGTCGGCCTCGCGTGTCCCTACCCCATGAGCTCGGCGGCGACCCTGTCAGGTCACCCTGGCGAATGGCAAAACATCTCTCACACGTACACCATTACGGATTACTTTACCGACATCTCCTCTTCCTCGGCGCGGGCGGAGTTGCCACGGCACGCGAAGCATTGGATGTCAAATGAGGAAAACATCGTATTTGGATCGGGTGACGTCATCACTGTGATTGTGCATACAAAGCTGCGTTGCATTTCGTTTGAACGGAATGGGCTGTCACTAGGGACACTTTACACGAATATTCCACCCATGGTGAAGGTGCTTTTTCCATTCGTTGAGCTCTTTAACAAAGACGCCACGGCCCTTTGGATGTATCCTCCTCGCGAGATTGGCATCCGCGCCCGCTTTACTATGCGTGCCATGCTGTATCACTGGGGGACGGAGCTTGTGCCGAGACTAAATCAGATGCTTAGGGCCAATGACGTGGTGCCGTTGCAAGTCCTTGGAGCTGACGGAGACGAGATGAGCTTTTGGTACCGAAGCCCTCCACGCAGTGAGTTAAAGGGGTCACGTGTGGTACACCTTGTGCGGCAGATAGGCTCAAAGGCGGAAGTGGTTCTGGAGGGAGGCACAAAAAGCATGACGGTTCTGTCAGTAGCGTTGGAGCCTAACTACAATGCTGTCATTAGCAATGATTTGCCCGTCACCGTGGTGGTGGAGGACCTGCTGCGCATTGTCTTTAACTCCATCAGTTTTACCACAAACGCGGAAGGGTGTGAGGGTGTGCATATTCAACCAACCAAGGTGTTTCTCTGCGCGTTGCGACTGCTATCAGAGGTGGAAATGGTGTCTCTTCTTGAATGCGACGTTGGAGCGCTTCGAGCATTGCTGGTCCAATTCATACGTATTCTGGGAGTGCCGGACACCATTGCTTCGGAGGAGCAGTACATTGTGCTGGAGGCTTGGAACGAGTTGCTGCTGCTTCCCGATGACGATGCGCTTTGGATTCCGCTCCCCCGCGACAGCAGCTCCCATGACGATCTCCTCCTTGAAGGCGGCGAGGCCACGAAACACAGCGATACAGATGGCGACGTGGTGCCTGAAATATGTCTACGATGCCCAACCTGTGATGCAAAATGGAGCGACTGCACCTCTGAAGGTCATACAGTTCCCTACAGTCTCTGCTTTACACAACACTGCGTGCTGCAGCGTTTGGGAGTACCATCACCGTTTACAGGTTTTGTATGCAGATGGTCGTTGCCAGGAACTCAGTTTTGCGTGACGATTCGCGTGGGTCCACGTGGGGAAATGGAGGGCAAGGGTGAGGAGGCGCGAGGTCTCTTTACGTTTAAGGCAAAGCTGGTCTCAAATCACTTTATGCGGGGAAGTTGTGTGTACAAAGAGGCCAATAACTCCACCGTCCGCGCCCAGTTGGATGAGGAGTGGACCTGTGAATTATGCACTTTCATTAATTTGGCGGATTCCACCCGTTGTGCCATGTGCACAACTGCCCGCTCAGGTGCGACATGGACGTGCGTCTTGTGCGGCTACGCCTTTAATTCGAAGAATAATGCTATCTGCACAACCTGCGGTCATCAGCACATGGGAGCCTCAGACACGGACTCCAGGGCGGAAAAGAAGCTCGCCTATTGTGAGGGCTGCGGGGGTAGCCGGGAGTACACCACGTTTAATGATTTTGATTGCCATGCTTACTGTGGGCACTGCCAGCGGGAATCCAGATGGTTGCCGGATGAGAAGTACACGGGCTTAATAGAGGCCACACTTGTGGGTGCTGGTGACACGATGGATTGGAAGATTATTCTTGGTGACATCGTCACTATGTACGCAGGACTGCGCAACGATGCGTATTCGCTGGAAGGGATGCAGCAGGCAGCAGCGGCGGCGTCACCAACTGCGAATGACCTTTCACGCTATGTTCCGCCGCTCGTGCAGATTCGTACGAATGAAATCAACACCTTGAGCCCCGCATCGACACAGCAGCAGCAGGAAGGAGCTGAAAGCTTCCGTGCGGTGGTTCCTGCTATTCTCTTCTTTTGTAGTCGCATTGTTTGCCGTTGGGGCCCGGAAATTGCTCCGCATCAGCTCTCAAACAAGGACGTCTTGCGCCGCCTCCGCGTGGTGGATGACGGTTGGTTGGCTGGACTTGAGAGGGTTCCGCATGAGGCGGCACGAGGTATTTTTTTCTCTTCCTTACACGTTTTGCTTGCCGGGACGAGCAGTGGGCAGGTGATACGATCTCTTTCCTCTGTTACAAGGGTGCTGATGAACAGTCACGTCACTCTACAAAACCAGCGTCACTACCTGCTTTATGCTCTTTGCGTGAATGTGATGCGGTGCAACGGTGATCGTGCGGTGCGGGAGGTTTGTTACGCTGCGCTTAACAAGTTAATTGAAGCGTTCTCTGGGAGGCGACTGAATGCCAGTCCACTCCGCGACGTGGTGGCTATCACACCCATTGTGGCGGAGCAGCAACGACTGATGGTGCATGCCTCGCTTCGGGGCGTGGATGTTTGCACCGGGACAAATGTGATTTCCACAAGTTGGCTGATAAAAGCTGTGGAACGGATGGAACGATGTGAACGGCTTCCCGCCATTTTTGACGAACCATCGCCCGACATCTTTCCCTATCTTGTGGAACTGCCGGACACACGTATGGGCGATGGTGGGGAGCTTATTGTGGGACAAGTGCGGGGTAGTGTTGGGGTGCTTGCCAGCAAGGGCGGTCGCTACTACTATGAGTTGGTGATTCCAGCAAACATTGGCAATGATCGAAGCAAGACGATCGTCATGGGGTGGGGGACGATGCAGCATGAGGTGCTTAGTGGTGGCCAACATGTCGGCAGTGACATACATTCATGGGGTTTTAATTGCCAGGACCGACTGCGCGTGCTAACAGGTGAGCAGGCGATTCCCACCCCACGCCCTATTGTTGGCAGTGACGTTATCGGCGCGCTACTTGATCTTGATGCGATGATGATGTGCTGGAGCGTGAATGGTGAGCAGCTGATGTGGGTCACTGTCTCGACACAGGGCAAGGGGGAGGCGATTTACCCGTTTGTCAGCGCCTCCGTAGACCCATTTGGGGTTGTGGTGCGGCTTGGGCATACTCAGTTTAAGCCGGACGGGTACGAAGAATTCAGTCCATTTTCTAACGAAATGGCACGACGGAAGAGCCACGTTAAGCCGCAATCGTACGAGTTCTACGTGCAGCTATGTAATCTTGGTAACGACATTGTCAACTGCGGCTTCACACTGGACGCGTTGCTGGAGACAAGCGCGTGGTTTGATCAGGCACAGGCGTTGATGGTGCAGTACCCGCTCCTCGCTGCGGAGGTGGCAGGCAACTCACTGGAGTGGTTGCGGCCCTACCTTCAACACCTGCGCTCCATCAACTTTTTGGCGATAAGTGTGGCGAAGAGCCACGACATTTTGCGGAATTCACCCTACCTAATGCGCAGTTACCAAAAGACGCGTCAACTGTTGTTTTTCAGTGCACGTTGGGCCATCGTAGAGCGACAAATAGAACGTCGTTTGATTCGCAGCAGCCTGCGGCACCAGCGTGAGGTGATGATTGATCTTAACCGTGCCAAGGCGATGGCGCAGAGCAGTGAGAGCCTGGACTTTATGACACGCTTCGAGGGATCGATCACAGGGCAGCTGTTTCGACAGACGAAGGAGGCGGACATTTACCTGGACACCATTATGTTTGTGGTCAGCCTGGCTGGGGAGGTGGCTGATGACGCGGGCGGCGTGACACGCTCTGTGGTCACCATGATGTGCGATGAGTTGAACTACCGCGAGGAGGACGGCGGCCGTCGCGTGGACCCCATGCTGCCCTTCTTTCGCTTGACGGGCCACACAACGATAGTGAGTGTGGTTCCAAACATGGAATTTTACCGAGAGAACCCTGAGCATCGTCTCTTGTTTGTCGAGTTTTTTACGTGGCTCGGAAAATTGCTCGGCAACGCGACGATGAGCGGGTACCTCATGTTTTCTCTCACCTTTCCGCGTCTGACGTGGAAGTTTCTCACCTTTGACACGCCCACTATTGAGGACTACTACGCCGAAATTGATGACACCGTGCGTGGGGCACTTAATGATGATGCATTTCTGCTGAACGACGATTTTTTTAACTCTATCCCTGGCATTGCGTGGCAGGATGAGAGCGTGACAGACACGCTGGGGATGATGTGCTCCGCCCGCGTATACCCTGTCAAGACGCCTGGGCGGAGCTCGGTGGACCTGACAACGATTGCTCCAGCCGACAATAACGAGGAGAACGTCACCGCAGCGCAGCGCCGCAGGGAGGCCGAACGGGCATTGCTGCATCAGTATGACGAGTTATTACTTGCCATGTTGTCTGGTATTACGTTTGTCATACCGGTCAACTCGCTGCAGCTTATCCGCTGGGACGATTTACAGCAGCGCGTGTGTGGCAACTCCTGCACCACGGCGGAGGACGCCATCTCCTCGCTAAACCTCTCCCTGCTATCTGAGGAACTCCGTCACATGCTGAAGGAGGTTCTGCGTGGCTGGACACCGAAGCAACGTTCACAGTTTCTGCTTTTTTGCAGCGGCCAGCGGCGGATTCCGCTACCCGAAAAGGTACAGGTGACATGCGGCGACGACCCCGACGCGGTCCCAACCGCCCACACCTGCTCGCCCATCTCACTGCTGCTACAACCGTACTCCTCCGTCTCCGTCTTGCGCGATAAGCTGGAGGTTTGCCTTCGGCACGTTTATGAATTTGGATTCGTATGATTCTCTCCTCCTCCCCTTTTCTTTTCATAGGTGGCGGAGAACGCTGTGGCCAACTTGGTCTCCTTTCCGATCCCCATCGCGTGGCGGCAGCACTAGGGACTCGCGTGCTTTTGGTTTTATTATCTGGCTTTATCAAAAAAAAAAAAACACACACACCCTATCAATTTTTTATTTATTTATTTATATAATTAGATAGTTTTGATGGTCGGTTGAAGGCTTGGATTTGCAGTGTTGTGTGCTCTTTGTTTTTTCCCCCTCTCTTGCTTGGCGTGAGGAATGAGACAATTCGGAAGCGTTTTTGCGTGCGTGTGTGTTTTTTTTCCCTCTTGCGTTGGTGTGTTTGTCTGTACAGGCACATCCGTCACTTGTGGTATCTCCACGTGTCGTACGATGTATTTATGCTTCTGCTTCCATGCCTTTTTCTCCACTGATGTGAAACAAAACGACGGGGGAAAGATGGAGGGGGGACGGGTGGATGCAGATGCTGCCCTTTTGCTTTTGCCCGTTTGCAGCTGGCTTTGACGCCCATGTCTCACTTCTCCCCTCTCTCCCTTGTCTTACTTCCATTTTTTTTTTGTTGCATTCTGTTGCGGCTGGCTTTGTTGCGATTTTTCATTTGTTCAATTTTTACTGCTGCACTGCATCCGCACCGCTCCCTTTTACCCGTTACTTCTCTTAAGCTCTGCTTCGCACCTCCATCAGACACGGTTTCCTTCCTCTTTTTTTTCTTTTTTGCTTTTGTTTCCTCCTGTTTTTGTTTGCCACATACCGTTTTTTTTTTTTTGAGGTTCTTCGTATGGATGCACGTATGTGCGGGAGAACACTCACGCCTCGCTTTTTTTTGTTGTGTGTCGCGCCGCAGTCGCTGTCACGTTTACTTCCCTCCCCTTTTCTTATTGTTGATTGTGGGGGTACTTTTTCTTCACGCTTCTCTATGCGTTAGTGAGTGAGTGAAAGCGAGCGAGGACCAAGTATACACACGTAAGGCAAAGTCCTTCCCCTCCCTCCCTTTAGGCAGGCTACAGGAGCAGGAACGAGGAAGCAGCAAGCGTTTCAGCACAGACCATCACCGGCATCTGCTGCAGCCGCAAATGTTGCAGGAGGAGGAATGCAATATCCGTTGCCATGCGGTTGTGCTCCGCATGGGCGAGATTTTTGGCGAGTTGGGTTTTGAGTTTGACAGCACGCACCTCGCCAACGACGTTACCGCCGTGACGAAGTGGAACCTCCACGTTGACTTGGAGGGGTTTGACGGCAGCCAAACGGCGTACTTCGACGAGGAATTGCCGGTGGAAAAGGGGCACAAAGTCGTGAAGCTGCGGTTTAGTAGGTTTTACATCGTACGCGTGCGGGTGTACTCGGCGGACGCGTTGGCGTGGAGCGCCTGGTCTGCGCCCGTGCGCACCGCTACCATGCACGCCGTCGTGGCCGTAATCAAGGAAATTGGAGAAGACCACGTGCGGGTTCAGTGGAACCGTCCTCTACGAGATACGACCAAAATTGTGCCCGAGCGGGACGCTGAAGCAACGCAAAACATCACTGATATTTCGGATTTTGAGCTGCGTATCATTCGTGAGAATGACATGCTGCAAGAGTTTTGCGATCGCTTTGCAACGGGAGTGCGTACTTACACCGTTCGTGGGTTGAAGTCCGGTACCGCCTACATTGTCATGATGCGCTACAGGACGCTTATCAACACTATGAAAAACTGGACGGAGGTGGGTCGCTTCTACACTAAACCGAGGAACGTCATTTCGCTCGTCAGCCGGGGTGAAAATGTTGTGAAGGTGAGCTGGTGTCTCGGGCCGACCCCTGTGGACGCCGTGGGTTACACGGTCCCGGAGACGACGCCGTACCGCTACGAGGTCTCTTATGAAGGGGGTGACACCACGATGAGTCCGGTGCAGCTGCCGGAGCAACAGCACGAGTACCGTGTGGAGGGCCTGTCACCAGGCACTCTGTACACCTTCTATGTACGTAGTTTTACCGTAGAGGGGATTTGGGGCAACCGCTCCGACCCGTTTAAGGTGCGCACGGCAGACATTCCCGAGCTATCCGTGGCTGCCTCTGGGGAGACTTTTCTATCCTTTACGTGGATGCGGGCACATGACGAGCCCGAGGAGTCCAAGGTGGAGTTCTGCCTCCAGAGCCTTACGTCACGGTACAAGCAGCAGGAAGTTATCCCTGTGGGTCCACGTGCGGAGGACAAAGTCATTCACGTGGGAGGGCTGACCGCTGGCACGGAGTACAGCGTCTCCATACGGACGTTCTTGCAGGGTGAGTGGGGTCTATGGACGGAGCCTCAGCGATTCCGTACCCAATCCAAGCTCACCTTGACCTTTCTTGAGCGCGGCGAGGACTTCTTTACTCTTGCATTGGAGGAACAAAATAGGCCTCCATCTGCAGCGCATTTAAATATTGTGGTAATGTGCGTTGGCAAAGGGGATGAGCGGTCGGTGGTGCTGGACAAGGAGATTGAGCATACACCAAATGAGCCAAGTTTCCGTGTGGGTTCATTGCAGTCCAACACCGTGTATGAGGTGCAGTGCCGGCGTTGGCAGCACGATCGTATTACGGGTGATGAAGGATGGGGTGAGTTTACTGCGCCGATACAAATGCAAACGTTGCAGCATTTGGCGTTGCATGTGTGGGACATTGGTGAAGATTTCGCCCAACTTGTTTGGCGTCGTGGACTGTCGGATACAGCGCCATCGAATAGCTTGACGGAGCAACCAGTTCCAGATTTAAAGTATGAAGTGGTGGTGGGATGCGTAGACACGGGGGATGATTCTATTGTCCATCGACAGGTGCTACAGGCGAACTACACCATTACCAATTTGCGTCCAGCCACCACCTACATTGTCTCCGTCCGTGCCTGCAATGAGCTGGATCAGTGGGGCCTGTGGAGCCAAGTGAGGTTGCGTACGCTTGCCTCCGTTGCGACGTCTGTTCACGAGATTGGGGAGGACTTTGTTCGACTCATGTGGCAGAGGGAAAACATTGATGATGAGGAGGATGTTAGGAACAGTGGCAACAAGAGTGAGGACAATCTACTTGAGGGTACCAGCCGTGTTGTGGATAGTGTGGCGAGCGCCGACATGTTTGTCTCCCGCTACGCCGTATTTGTGTGTAGCCACGAGGATGGCGAGTCGATTCCGAGTACATTGAGTGGATATTGCATTGGGGGAAACTCGGAAGTTGCTTGCTATGAGATTGTCACCAGCGAGCATACGTCGCTGCGCATGAATGAGCTCCTTCCAGATCGCGAGTATGTGGCGGTTGTGCGAGCGTCAACGGCGACAGGGAAGTGGGGACTTTGGAGCAGCCCGCTACGCTTCCGCACCAACCCTCAATTCCGCATCCCTGTCAACAATCTCACCATTGGGGAAAACTATGTCAATCTTGTATGGAGCCGCGATGCCCATCCAGTGGTGGACAAGGACGTGTTCCTGGGTGACCTCAGTGTGACCGGGCAGCAGCTACGCATTCACGGTGTGGACACCCCGTATTCGAAGGACCATGCGCTTCCCGCGGATATGCGTGAGCTGAAGATTTACGGCCTTTCTCCTGCCAAAGCGTACACCATTCAAATTCGTGTGTGTGGCAAAGGGGGTGATTGGGGACGTTGGAGTCCCCCGGTGCATATTCTTACCCGTGGCACCATCCTGACAAGAGCCGTGGAGGTCGCCGAGGACTACATTATTATTACATGGGAACGCCGGAAGGTGGCGAATCCCAAAAATTACCCCACTGGACGGGGCATTGTCACCTCCTACCATCTGCGTGTGTACAACAGCGCTGGGATTCACTCCGAGGTGTTTCTTGGCGACGGCGATTCTCCGTACCGTATTTCCAACATGACGCCAGACACGTACTACTGTGTCGAGATGAAGGCCAACTACAACGACGAGGAGTGGGGCCTGTGGAGTACCCCCATGTGGTGCCTCACGATGAAGACGTTGGAAATTAAGACCAAACTCATTTCTGAAGAATTCTGCTGCATTGTCATTCGGCGGCCGTTTCAACAGAAACGGCTCCCAGAGGACGATGGCAACCGCACCGGCGATGACCGCATTGTTGCGTTTGGGCAATTTCGTCCAAATCTTATGCTTTGTGTCACGTCACCCATCCTTAACCCGACACCGCATATCTCTACAGGCACCATGCGGCCCCGCATCCAAAATTCCTCTTTGCCTCCCGACGCCTCCGACCACCGACTCATCTACCAGGCTGAGATCCTCTGCGCCTCTGATGACACCGACCACACCATCCCAAACTTGCGCTCCAACATGGTGTACAGTGTATCGGTGCGCTCGAAGCTTGTAAACGGTGAGTGGGGTATTTGGTCGCAGCCCTCACTGTTATTCGCAACGGTTCCTTCGACTCAGGTGGAGTTTACAGATATTGGCGAGAAGTTTGTGAAGGTGGATTGGAAGCGAAGCCGGCAACGGATTCCGCCACAACTGAAAGATCCTGACGCTGTGAAATGTGGGCTTGGTACGATTAGTGCCTCCCGTGTGAAGGTGCGAGAGATTGGTGGTTCATTCCAGCAAACGTATGAGTTGAATAATTCATTGACTACGCTGCGCATGGATGGCCTTTCCCCCGCCTCTACGTACGCTGTTTCTGTACAGACATACAATGACAACTATGAGTGGGGTGTTTGGAGTGACGAGGCAAAGGTTCGCACAATTCCCGGTATGGATATTGCTGTGCAGCACATTTCCGAAGACGCAGTGTGGGTTGCTTGGGGGCGCAAGTTAGATGTATCGAATTTTGTAAACTACGACACGGCCCTTAACGTGGACGTTGTCCCTTCGGCCTACGAGATAAGCATCATTGGTGGTGGCCAATTTAAATACACAAAGGAGATGAATACCAATACGCTATTTTTTCGCGGTCTACAACCAGATACGGTGTACGATTTTCAGGTCCGGGCGCAGTCCTTTGGAAATCAGGAGTGGGGACTTTGGTCTACCCAGCCATTTCGCACAAAACCTCGACTTCGTGTGACCTTTGGAAATGTGGGTGAACACTTTGCCATTGTGGAGTGGCGCCGCCATCTGCCTAGTTCGATTGGGGAACGTGATGTCAACACCGTCGTAGAGTCCGAGGATGTGGTCCGGCAATTTCGACTGAAGGTGGAGCGTGCCGGCAGCAAGGTTCCCTACGTGTATGATTTGAGCCCATACATCAGCAGTTTTTGTCTTAAGGATCTGCGACCCTCGTCGGAGTACCGTGTGTGGCTTTGTGCCAAGGGATTTGAGGGTGTTTGGGGATTCTGGAACGAGGAGGCCCGAGTTCGCACGTTGCCCAAACTGGAACTTGATGTTACCGCCATTGGTGAGGACTATGTGACCGTGTCCTGGAAGCGCGGAAAATGGGTGGGTGAGACTGTGGGCCACACGGAGGCGTCTGTGCAGGAGATGGAAGGCGCCGTGAGCGGCTACAGGGTGCGGGTGTTGGATGAGGAAGGGACAGAGGTGGTGTCGCGATTCGTCGGATTTCGGGAAACCTCCTGTACCCTTTCGCCTCTCAAACTGTCGAGCGCCCACTCCGTCGAGGTCGCGGCGAAGGACACGTATGACGAGTGGGGTTTGTGGAGTGACGCAAAGCGTTTTCTGACGCTTGAGGCGGTGGACCTGCGGATTCTTCGTGTGGGTGAGGCGTTCGCAGAGGTGGAATGGGGTCGCCGCCGCGACCTCTTGCGCCGTCGACGAGACAGGCGTGGTGCCGTTCGGCGACGCAACTCCCTTTTGCCGTTGGGGGATGATGTCTTTGCCAGGACCGTCGACACGTATACAGCGGAGGTTGCACACAGTGAGGGCGTGGGCGTCTCCCTCGATGACGACAGTGACGCCGAGAGGGAGGCATCGGGGGCTGGCCTGGGATGTGGTGCCTCCAACGGCAGTCCACGTGATCCAAATGTGCCTTACTCTGGTGAAGCACACGTTGATGAGGAGGGGCATGACAGCTATGAGGGCGGCAGTGGAAATGAAGTTGAGGCGAGGGAAGAGGAGGAGGAGGAGGAGGAAGAAGAAGAATATGAGGAGGAGGAGGACTACTACTACGACGATGCCCTCCTTCACGGTGACAACGGTGTACTACAGTGGCACCTACGTGTTCAGGGGCAACGCGTGTTTGCTGGCCAACCCGGTGCCGAGGACGTTGCAGAGTTGTACGTCCCCGCAGACGAGCTACAGCGCGTTATTAGCTCTTTGCTGCCGTATGCCGTTTACTCGGTGTCTGTGCGGGGACAAGACAAGGGAGGTGCGTGGGGTCACTGGAGCCAACCACGCAAGTTGATGACATATCCTCTGCTGGCACTCACAGCCGACAGTGTAACGGAGACATTTATTTACGTTTCATGGAGCCGACCTCCTGCAAAACAGACGTTACCCGAAGGGTTTATATGTTTTCCCCCAATGACAGACATACACAATTATCAGGTGCACATTGAACCGCTTGCAACAGAGCCACCGTTTGATGAGCAGGATGAGCCTCTTGTAAATGGTGCACGGGTGTATGAGACCTCTCAACCATCTCTGCGGTTGTTTAATCTTGCTCCGGGTGTACGCTACCGTGTCGTGGTTCGGGAACAGATGATTGACGCACAAGGAGATTTTGTGCCCGACACGTGGGGATGCTTTTCCGCGATTCAGGTGGTGGAGACTATAAATCCAATGCGTGTCGTCCCAATTGAGATTGGGGAGGACTACTGCCTTGTGGGGTGGCATCGCATGCAGCGTGTGGCAGACATGGCATCAGATATTAGTCTTGTAACGGGTCTGGGGAAGGTCACGGCGTATGAAATGCGCGCCGTGCGACTGGATGAGAAGGCAAAGCAGAAATACCATGGACCACTAGCACTTGATACCATCGTCTCTCTGGAGTCAAGTGAGACCTCCTACCACCTGGGGAATTTGGTAAGCAATACCATCTACGCCTTGAGCGTCCGCGCGCAGACGGAGGGCTACTGGGGTCCTTGGAGTGCCACCACGAAGTTTGTGTCGCAGAGTCGCCTGCAGGTAAAGGTGCGTGCCGTCTACGAAGACGTTTTTGTCGTCAGCTGGAGACGTCCGCTCCCCGATTGGGCGCTCTCACGCGCCGATTACGCTAGCCCCGGCGGCGTGGCAAGGTCCCCTTTTCCACGGCGAAAGACAGACATGGAGGTTGTGGAGAAGGATGCAGTGGAGCGGGAAACACAAGACGATTGCAAAAACAACAGGAGCGACAGTAATAGCAACACTGGCTCTCTCTTGGAGAAAAGCGGTGACGACTTTGACTCCGTCTTGATCTGTGACTACTCTGTGGATCGGTATGAATTGTACGTGGAGGGGGTCACGTGTGACCTGCATCAGTGCCTGACGTTGCCGAAGGAAAAGATGTCTGCGCGCATCACGGGGCTGGAGCACAATCAGATTTACTCTGTATGTATACGATCGCAGAGTGAGAAACAGCACTGGTCGATGTTGTCACGGCGGGAGTCGTTGCTAACACTCACACCCATGTGTGTTGAGCTGTCTCACTACACAGAAACGATGGTGTTGCTGCGCTGGTTTCGTGCCCCGCAGGACATCATGGAGTACGACGCTCTGTTGCAAAGTCGCCGTGCGGAGGAGGAGCGACGGTGCGACGAACGTGAGCGGCAGGATCTTTTTGAGTTAAAACGACGTGCGCAAGAGATGGAGGAATCTGCAGAGCGCAAGTATTTGAGTGACCACTTGGCGATGCGGCGAGAACACAATGCCGCACGTCGCATGGACGCGGTGCATCATCTACAGGCGGAGAACGTTGCCCTGGGCGACGCTGAGGTGACGGGCTATCAGCTTAAGTTTATGGGGGAGGTTGGGGGATGCATGCCGTCCATTCCAGGACTCCACCGCATGCTGCTGCAGCAACGCATGCCGCACTTAGCGCGGCGGCGGCAACCAGAGAACACGAAGAAGGTGCCAAGCAAACAGCGACAACAAATAAGCCCAGATGCTAACGCTGACCGCATTGCGAGTGACGCAGGGACAGGAGGAGGGCGCGTGTCACCTGCCACGACGGGTGACGAGGGGCTTGCCAGGGAGGAGGCCTCACTCATCGACGTCCATCTGGGCTCACATGTCATGAGTCTCACAGTGAAGGATTTAGCGCCGTGCGCCTCGTTTGCTGTCCAGCTGCGCGCCCGCAATGCGGCGGGGGATTGGTGTCCGTGGAGCCGGCGCGAGAGTTTCACCACACTTAAGCCCATCGAACTTCACCAGAATCGCTTTGGTGAGCACTACATCAACTTGTATTGGCATCGCCTTTCTGCCGCGTTCATGCAGAAAATGGAGGATGATGAGGCGCAGCTGCAGGAACTCAACAAAGGGTTCAGCCACATGTCACCTAAAGACCTGGAGGACAAGAAACGGGAGCTGCCAGAGTCGGAGTACGATGCGCTTCTGGAGGGACTTAAGGGCTGGCGTGATCTGAAGCGTTACGTGGCAAATGTGCGATCGCAGCTGTCACGTGGGCTTGGGGAGGTGATGGTGCATGAGGCAACTCCGGTTAAGGGGTACCAGTTGCGCATCATCCACGAAAGTGGGACCTTTTTGGATTACTACATCAACGGTGCCACCTGCGGCAACAGCACCAAGAGCAACAGCCACGACGCGAATGACGACGTCACCACTGAGACGGCCACGTCTGCCACCATCGACACCACAAGTTCGATCCACTGCGCCTACACTGTGACTGGGCTGGTGTCAAATACCATGTATATTGCTCTGTTGTGCGCCGACTACGGCTTCGCGTGGGGACCGTGGACACCACCGCTTCGATTCATGACACAAAATCTTATCCAACTTTCCATTACGTACATCTCGGAGGTGTTTGTTGACGTTGAGTGGTATCGTGCCCCCAACAAGACCCTTCCACCTGATGATCAGAACACCGTAGTGACAAGCGACGTCGTCTCAAGCGAGGCACGTGTGTGTCAGGTGCGCATCACCTGGGAAGACGAGGAAAATGATGGTAAAGTAATGGAGGAATACCGTACAATACGTTCGTTTAACGTGTTTCGCATTGACAAGCTACGCACAGACACAAAGTACACCTTTGCCCTACGTGAGTGGGATGCTGAAGGGGATTGGGGTCTCTGGTGTGCCCCAAGGACGTGCGTGACGCTGCCTGGAATGCAAACAACTGTGAAGGAACTGGGCGAGGACTGGGCTGAGATCACATGGTGCCGCAAAGAGCGATGCGTTGACTACGACGATGACATCGATGTTTTGCAGTACGACCTGGAAAAGGTTTCGTACTACCTTCGGGTTCAGGAGCTGCCTGAGACCGATGCAGAGGGCGAGGCACATGTGATACCCTCCGAAGAGATGCGAGAGGGCTCTGCGGATGTGGTATTGTTGGATGAGATGGAGGATATATTCGCCACTACCCAGATTATGCACGGCGTCTTGCCGAGACAGGAATACCCTGTGGAGTTTGTGGGAGAGCGGTATGGCCTTCAGTACCTGCTTAGGCGTTTTGACAAGGACACCATGTCTTTTCGGCTTGAGAACTTACACCCAGATCGATTCTACAACGTGCAGGTGATGTGTGAGACGCCGGAGGAGCGCCTGGGTGCGTGGAGCAGTGACAGGCACTTCATCACCATGTCGAAGATTAAACTCTTAACCCAGAGCATTGACGAGCAGTACGTGGATCTCTCCTGGCAACGTTTGCCGCCACGTGAGCACCCACTGCTAAACATGAGTGAGGTGTTTACAGGACATTATACGACTAGCGCATACGTGTTGGAGGTGAAGGGTGCCGATGGATTTTATATTTGCGAGCAGTTGCAGGGGCACCTGAACAACTCTTACCACCTAAAGGGCCTCACGCTGAATACGGTGTATAGTGCCAGGGTGTACTCCATTAATGATGAGGGTGTGCAGAGTCTGTGGTCGGAGATGTTGCACGTCGCGACGCTTGACCGAGTGAAGGTGCAACCAACCGAGATCTCGGAGCAGTCCATCATGCTGGAGTGGGGGCGTGAGGAGCAGCGACCGACGTGTGCGGAGACTGGCGACGAATACGACCCCACAATTTGTGTTGGGAGCCGGGAGTCTGGCAACTATATCTTGCGTGTCTACCAGGCTGGGGATTCCTCCCGTAACTTGTTGCTTGAGAAGAGCTTTCCTGGCAGCGTGTGTAACTTTTTGCTGGTGTCGTTGACACCGAACACGCCGTACGTCGTTTCCGTGCGGGCGGCAAACCTCCTTGGGGAGTGGGGGATGTGGTCGGAGGAGCGGTGCGTGTACACTATGAAGCTCATCTGCGCAGAGATTGCCGCCGTGGGGGAGGACTACATCCGATTCTCCTGGACACGCGAGGAACCTGACGAACTGCAGATTGGGGGGGACGGTCAAAATTCCCCTCGACAGTTCAAGAATGACGGGAACGACGTCTCCGTTGTGGAGTTAGGCGAAGAGGAGGCCACTGTCGCTGCAGGCGATGCGAACGAGAACAGCACCCCTCGCGAGAGACGCGTCAGTGAAACTGTGGAGGGTGTCACGGGAAGTAACACGTCGCATCTGCTTTTAGAGGCGAATGCGGAGGACGGCTTCCAGCACCCGCAGCCCACGCGCAACGTCATCCGCAAAAAGTACCCACTAATGGACCGTCCGGAGCGAAAGACGGCGGTGTACCAAAGCGCGAAGACACGTATTGAGATGTATGCGGTGAGTGTGCGGGGTTCAGAAGGGGGTGAGGACTACACCATTGAGGTGCCTGGGGATGCCACTAGTTTTACTGTTCCATCACTGCGACCGGATACACGCTATTCGCTGGCGGTTTCTGCTCGCTACAGTAGTGGCGAGTGGGGCGTCAGCAGCGCGTACGTCACCAGCGGCACGCTGAACCTCATCACAGTGGAGTTGCGGGGGCTTGGCGAGGATTACTTGACTGCTACATGGAAGCGACTGCCCATCACGTATGACGCAAGCACGGTGAGTTTTGGGCGCAGTGAGGACACTGTCTTTTACGAACTTGCGGTGCATGACTTCACGGATGTTTCCTTTGGCGAGGAGGACGCGGAAGAGTTGCCGCCCCGCTTGTGGAGTACCGTGTTTGTGCCTGCGAAGATGCGGTCATGCACCGTCAGGGACTTACTCTCCCACCACCGCTACCGCGTCTGTGTTCGACGCTGGTACAAACCGCTTGAGGCATTTGTGAATGATGCCTCAGTTGAAATTCCGCGAACGGATGAAGAGCAGGTGCTGGAGGGGATACAACGCAACCATGGCTCGCCTGGAACGTGGGGCGAGTGCCTCTACGATGTGACGCTGCGTGATATGGTGTGCACCATGGAGGACAGTGCGGAGGAGTTTTTTGTGGTGCGGTGGGAGCGGGACCCCCGGGCACAGGCGTTGCCAGTCCGTAACCCATTTGCCCAGATGCCTGTGCAGGGTTATCATCTGCGTATTGACGAGGTGGCGCCGGACGGCGCTGTGCTTGACGCGAGTGCAGATCCCGTCCATATTGATCAGTCGCTTGATGCCCACGAAACCTCCTACACCGCGCAGAATCTTCGGCCCGACAGCTTATACCGCATCGATGTACGATGCCGCGTGGACAACAACTGGGGTCACTGGAGTCGCAATCTGTTTGTGCGCACGCTGCCTAAGCTTGTCATTGATACTGTCAATATTGGTGAAGACTACGCCTTCTTTTCCTGGCAACGACCACGTCGTAATTTGCTCCTTCCTGATGGCACCGAGGTGTTTTGCGGGAGCGGCGATAACATTGACCGATTCCACCTCGAGGTGGTGGGACATGGCCACAGATTTCATGTAAGCAAGAAGTTCAAGGTAACACGTAACACCTACCGCGTAAAACATCTAGAGTCAAATAACGTGTATTCTGTGGTTGTGCGGTCGTGCGACGCGAGTCGTGATGTGTGGAGTTTGTGGAGTGATCGTGTCTTCTTCGCTACGCTGAAGCCGATGCAGTTGACTGTTGGGCCTGCGGCGGAGCAATTTGCCTTGGTGGAGTGGAAACGTGAGGAGCAGACACCTGAGGAGTACACTGAAATGGTGGGAGAGGGAGGCGGTGTTGTTCAGCTTGGAAACCCCGAGGTGATTGCGTACCATTTATGCGTCTTCTCCAACCAACACACCCCCTCTGTCGCTGCGGTTGACAAGCAGTTCCCGAAGGATGTTACCCGCTACTGCTTTGGCTCTCTCAAGGCCGACACGCCCTATGTGGCGATTCTGCGCTCCTGCAACAAGGAGTCACGTTGGGGTCTTTGGAGCAAAGAGGGATGCTTCCGCACCCAACGAATATTGAGTCTCTGCGCGGAAACCGTGGGCGAAAACTGCGTGCGGGTAAAGTGGGAGCGGGCGGAGGTGGATTGCTCCGACGATGGACGCAGTGCCGGCACGAAGGCGGAACCTATCGTATACCAGTTGCTGCTTAAGACGGGATCCGAGACTATTGAGCGTCTTGTTCACCACAGCGAGTGTGGGGTGACAGAGGACGATTTCAAGCTGCCCACCTACGTCGTGGAGGGACTCACCCCAGCGACAAACTACCTGATGGCGCTGCAGCCGGGCTACGAGGAAAACCGCTGGGGCTTATGGACCCCCTCCATCAGCTTTAAGACGCGGCCGCCCATTAGCATCACGGCCACTACTATTGGCTCAAACCGTCTGGTGCTTGCGCTTGGCCGTAACCCCGAGATACCGTTAAGAGAGGAAGGTCTTGTAGAGGGAGGGAATGAAAGTCCTGAGCGTGTGGTTCCATTGGAGAGTGTTGTCAGTTACCAGCTGGTACTTTTCAAGCTGATTGAGCAGCACACGGAACCTGAAAGGGAGCGTGGAAGTGACACTAACGTTTTCGCCAGTCTTTTTCCTTCCTCTACGGGAGCACCACCATCTGCAATTGCCGCTTCAGCTCATGACAATTCTACTCCTGCAGATCTCGCTGCCAGGAATCCTGAGATTTCTGGTGCGATGGATGCAGAGCGGGCCGCGGTTGCGTCTCGTACGGCCCATGTTGTTGCTGCAGATCAAACGGCCGACGTGCCTGTTGCCGTTGCTGATGCTGATGCTCGTACAAATGACACTGATGACGGGTCTCCTGTGGTCAAGGATCGTGTTGCCGGTGTGGTGATAGAGGACGATGTTTCCCCGCACGAGTGGCGTGAGCGGGGGAGTTTATCACGCAGTGCCCTCATGTTTCTGCCGGCGAAAAAGGAGAATGCTGTCCTGGAGCGCGAGTTTGAGGTGAACAAGGAGGATCCAACCAATACCATCTGTGAGCTGGAGGAGCTGGAAAGCTCTGTCTCGTACAAGGTTCGCGCCCGTGCTCTGGATGAAAACGGGATGTGGGGGGCGTGGACGGAGTTGACTGTCGAAACGGTACCTTTTCCGCCCCATTCCGTGGCGCTACACCGCATCAACGCTCAGTTCTGCATGTTGCAGTGGGAGGCCCCCGATAACCACCACCTCTACCGCTACGTGGTAGAGCAGACATGTCCGGCGTCTGAAACCCGCGGGAAGGCAAAGGGTGGAGCGGAGTGGCGGGTGGCTGATGTTGTAGAGGAGACCTTCTGCCGGGTCCGGTTTATTGTCCCGCCGAATAAGATGCGTTGCCGCGTCAAGGCAGCGCGGGTAGGCGAGGGCCATGACTTCAGTGAGTTCTGTGAACCCGTGAAGCTTTCAAGCGGCGTCCCACCGGAGCCGGTGACGAACCTCTGTGTCACGGCCATTGCACGCAACTTTATCACGGTGGAGTGGGCACAATCGCGGTCCGAGATTGCTGGCACCTTACGCCAGGCACGTACCTTGACGTACCGCGTCTATCTCGCCGTCCGCGACAAGCCGCCGATTCTTGTGACCACCGTCCCCCAGACCACCAGTTACACGCTTGAGGATCTGGTGCCCTCGACGGCGTACACGATTCAAGTTGTGGTGGAAAATGCGGATGGTATGAGTTACAACAACCCCATGGTTTCTGCTGTGACGAGAAGTGAGCAGGATGAGACAGTTCTGCGACAGGAAGAGGGGCAACCGCCCCTTGGCACTATTGTGGAGCCCCTGTCTCCCATACGGTGCACCGCCCTGCCGGAGATTCCTTCCGCCCGCCCTACACTGGCGCCGCGGCCGCCGTCGCGTTCTAAGCGGGCGAAGAGCCGTGGTAGAAGCACCACTAGGAAGGCGTCTTTGTCTCCTAATGACAACCGTGGTGCCCTTCAGGCTTTGCCCCACACCGGCTCAGCGTCGAACCCGATGGGCAGCAGCGCAAAACGAGGGACGCGAGACAGGTTACCATCCATAAGAAGGACGCATTGAAATACTCTCTGCTCCTTATCGCATGATGGGGGAACTAAGGACGCTGCGTTTTTACTGCTTTGTCATTGTGTGCAGTGACTACCACCCGTTTACTACTATTGTTATTGCTATTACTGCCCTGCTTTTGCAATCTGGTTCGTGAACGCCTGGTCAGGAGCGGGCGGGGGTGGGTTTATGCTCCCTCACAACACACCACATTTGTCTCCTTTTACAGGCAACACGTGAGCAATGGACAGTAGAGAGAAAGAAAAGGCCACTAAAAAAAAAAAAAAAACGAAAAAC